CAATTGGCGAAGCGGTTCCACAACATGTGGTTGTAGCATCTGCCCTCGCTGAGGAATGTCTTAAACAAACGATAATCCAAACTCAATTACTACGTAGTACTAGTAATCAATAGAGCTCTTTCAAAAACCTGTTGAGCTAGAGTTTGAGTTTCGCCATGTGTTTTCCAGTGATTTGATTGGCCAATGCAAAAATACTGTATTTGAACAAGTCGTCCTATGTCTCAACGACAATTTGAGTTAGAGTTTCAGGTGTGACACATGGCGCGTCATGGATATATTCATATTATAACCAATCAAACTTCCGAACTCCAGCACGTGGAAAAGAATATAATTCGGCAAACAGCAACCGTACCTTGCAAAGCTGTGCTCGGTGACGCTTCATCTGCAGCCTTCCTGTTTATACGTACTAGTACGACTTAATCAAAGCATTCACATTTCCGACCGTTGTGTGAGATGATCCTCTGTCACCTGGTTCCTTGGAAAGGTAGAGCAACACCTTCGTTGGCTCCCCTTGCAGCCTTTGTGTTCTGTTCAATCATACACCACCATGCGAGAATTCATAATATCAACACGAACAAAATGTTCGGTAAGCACCTAAGTAGGTCATATCTCTTGAAATTTGTATCTCGAAGTATGATGGAAGATAAGATAATTTTGTCAATTCTAGAACTATGACTTTGATGCCAAGTGTACTTATTTGACTGAGTTGGAAGTAATGGGCACTCATGGGTCCCGGTGTGTACATACGATGCTAAATCTCCGGGGTTAGCTGCATCGCTAGTGGTTAGCTATCGCTAACCACTGAGATGCACGTACCGGTAACCCCTAGTAAGAGGTGAGGTGGTCTGAGCATACAAAGTTCCTTATAAATCTCATTGAAACAGTATTTCGGGTCAAAACAACAGTGGAACTGTTTTAATGAGGGAATTGTTGCGGAGGAATGTCTAAAACAAATGTTAATGTAAACTCAATTAACCACACGTCGACTTCAATGTCTCATCGAGATGGATTGATGGATGTACCTTGTTCAATGATATTCCCGGTTGGTTACGTTGACTGTGAATGACTTGCACGCCTGGTCTTCAATGGTTGGCAAATTTGGCCAACTTCATTTTCCTTTTCGCTCTAACGTTACGATGATCAAAGTCCTCATCTCCCTCAGTGTGTTGGCCGCTGCCGCCACGGCTGGCTCCGTCACGGAACTCCCCGAGTCTGTGACCAAGCTCATCGACTACTCCGTCAATCCCTGCGACGACTTTTACCAATATGCGTGTGGTGCGTGGCAAAAGGATGCTGTTATACCCCCGGGCAAACACAAAATCGATACGTCATTCACCAAGATCTCCATCCAAAACGAAGCCATATTGAGGAAGATTTTGTCTGACAACAAGACCAAGCTTGGTAAGTTTTACAATTCCTGTTTGGACACGGCTACGCTATCGTCGCTCGGCCTGACTCCGCTGGAGGACGCGTTCAAAGCCATTCGGTCGGCCAACACCACGTTGGACCTCCTCATCGTGGCTGGTGAATTGGTCAAGAACGGCATCCCTGCGTTCGTGGACATCTACTCCAGCGCTGACGACAACGACTCGACCAAGAACGCCCTCTTCGGTTTCCGAGCCCCACTGTCGCTGGATCGCCCGTACTACACCACCCGTTCCAAGTGGGAGACCGTCGAAGCCGACTACAAGGTGTACATTGCGACGGTGTTGCAGCTAGCTGGCTACACTGCTGAGAAAGCGGCGGCTGCCGTACCGGTGATCATCCGTTTCGAACAAACTCTAGCCGGTGTCGCCCTCAGGGAGCTCAAGGAGATGGAGGCCGTTGTGTCTCCGTATACTGCGTTTACGTACAGCCAACTAGACCAGAAGTATCCGCTGCTCATCGGCTCGTGGCTCAAGGCCAACGGCTTCAAAGTCCACGAAGAGGGCGGTGGGTCGAACGACTGGGTGGGGTTTCACGGCTTGAACTACTTTGACAAGGCCGAAGTGTTGTTGAAGAACACGACGCTGGACAACCTCCGTACCATCATCGAGTACAAGCTCATCCATGCCTCGTCGAAGTACTTGACCCCTGAATTCCGCACGGCCAACTGGAACTTATTCGGCAAGAGAATCGATGGCGAAAAGATGGAACCTTCTCGTGAAAAGTTCTGCAGGTATGACACGGAGGAAACCGTGGGGGATCTCTTGGGTCAGTACTTCTTAGACGAGGTGTTGTCGGCTGATGCGGCAAAGATGGCTGACGAATTGGTCAAGGCCTTGAGGTCATCCTTCTCCACTGGCATAGCCACTGCCGACTGGTTGGACAACTGGACCCGCGCTAATGCGCAAACGAAGCTGTCCAAGCTCGTACACTTGTTGGGTGGCCCGGAGAAGCCGCAGCTGTACCCCACGCTGACGTTTGACTCGAAGTCGTATTTGAACAACCGGTGGAAGGTGTCTCAAGTGAACATCGACACCAACTTGAAGCTGAACGGCCAACTTGTGGAGAGGCGCAAGTTCGACAAGTCCCCTCATGAGGCGAACGCGTACTACTGCCCCAGCAAAAACCAAATTACGCTCCCGGCCGGCATTTTGCAAAGCCCGCTCTTTGACGGCCAGTTTGACGCTGCCCAGAACTTTGGTGCCATCGGGATGCTCATCGGACACGAAATTACCCACGGGTTCGACAACCGCGGCCGCAATTATGATGGCGACGGCAACTTGAAACAGTGGTGGTCGAACGCCACCAACACTGCTTTCAAGACGAAATCCCAGTGCATTGTCGACCAGTACGCCAACTTTGTCGTCAAGAGCGATGTGAATGGCTCTGCCTTGGGCAACGTCAACGGCAAGATCTCTTTGGGTGAAACCATTGCGGACAATGGGGGGCTCAAGACCAGTTTCCGCGCGTACCACGAGTACTTGAAGGAGTTCCCGTCCCAGTACACGGCAGAAGCAGGCGACAAGTTGTTCTACTTGTCATACGCCCAATCCTGGTGCTCCAAGAGCACGGATGCCTCCCTCCGCGCGACTTTGTGGAGGAAGTACCCGCCAGGTCGATACCGCGTGAAAGGGGCGTTGCAAAACAACGCTGAGTTTGCCCGTGTGTTCCAGTGCCCCATCGACTCGACCTTGAATCCGTCCAACAAGTGCTTGTTGTGGGAATAGGGTTTATGGATGCGAAAATATGTAGCGTTGGGCATTCGTAAAGAAAAACTAAGAAATGATGTATTGGTTGAAGTATGTTGCTTGCATGTGCGGCGCACACAAAAACTAACAACGTATAGTATGTGAGATCACCCTCGGATTCGCCTAGTTAGTTGTGTTAGGTCATGAACTTGAGATAAAGTCAACTACTCGACGGGTTTGGTACACGCATGACATCGGGTTTGTAAGGTTGGGATTGATACATAGGCCCTCTGTTCGGGAACCAGTTACAGCCCAACAACGGCGGGCTACGGACGCTCGCGGTGGTTCCCGCGGTTCTGTTCCACGCGAACCCGCACTCGATCAAAGGCGGGGTTACGGGCGTCGACATGTTCTTCGTCATCTCAGGCTACCTCATACAAGCAGGCATCCTCTTTAAGGAAAGCTCCGGAAGCTCGTTTGCGTACACCGACTTTTATTCGCACCGCATCTTCCCGGCGCTGCTACTCGTGCTCACGTTCACGTTGGTCGTGGGGTGTGTGTGGCTACTGGACACGGCGGTCCAGTCCATGGCCCTCGTGTCCGGGACGTTCTTTGAGGCCAACATCCAGCTGCTGATCGTCCAACAGGGCTACTTTGACGCCAGCGTCAAGGAGAATCTGCTGCTGCATCTGTGGTCCCTGGGGAGAGCAGTTTGACATCTTTTGGTCGTTGTTCGTGTCCGTGATCCGTCGGTTGCCTTCTGCAAGGCGCTGGCGTGCCAAGAGGCTGTGATGATGGCCAGCTTCGCGTGTAACGTCTTCTTCTTGGGCTACAATAATGATAACAAGTACTCGTTCTACTTTCCCCTGAGTCGGTTGCGGTGGGTGATGCTTTTGTCTAACGTAAATTGCCAATTTATGATCACTTTCTCCGGGTAGCCACCGTAGAATTCGCATATCTCCAATCACAGGATGGCATTTCACATTTTCAAGTGATTCTTAACAACCGAACACTGAGCTTACAGTTCACAATCGAATTACAGTTGTCCCCCAAGGTTTGCTCCTATGCAATGACATAAACTATTGCAGGAAGTTGATGACATAAAGGTGATACAAAATATTGAAATTGAGGGGGTTTTGGTGGATAACCAGTGATTTATACATCAAACTCAATTAAGCAATTGCTCCAGCGAATGACCGGAGCTAATGTAATGAGAATGGAGGTGCTCCATCAACGGCGGTACAACCACCCATGGAAGCATTTCACTTGATCTTGTAGGTTCAGCTTGGTGGCGACTTGGAGCCCCTTCCTCGCGATTAACTCGCCAGTCACGCATGCATTCTTTGCATTCGCCATGACCACCCACTCGGCAACTTGTTTGTCCAATTTAGGGTGTTTTGGCCCCTGAAAGTTGTATGCGCTTGTCTCTCAGGATTCGGCGAATAGTCGTGATGTGAAGCGTGTGGCCAAATAGTTCCGTGACCCACTGCTGCACGGCGGTTGTCTTAATGGGCACGTGAGACGCATAATACACCCGAAACCAGTTCTTCTCGTGAATCGAGAGTCGCTTTCCTTGTTGTTTGCACTGCGGCATATTCTCAAATGTCCTCATAAATTAAGCCTGTCAAAGTGAGGTGAATGCAGCCTCATGTTCAAAAATTTAAACCTCGTGTCAATTCTAATCAACCCTTGAAAGTTTATATGGTATTGTTTTATACGGGAATTTCGTTTTGACCAGGGAGCAAACCTTGGAGGACAACTGTATTACATTTCAAGATGTACTCTAATATAAAAAGCCAACTTTCCAAGCAAAGTTACTCTATTTTTTAGGACCAATTTATGATAACATTTTTAACTCCCCTAGGACCAAAGTGCGTCTTAGACGTACCGTACGCCTAAGACGTACGAATTAACTAATTTGTCTGAAACCTGTTTACTTAAATCAAGCGAAGAAATCTTCATGAAATTTTATTGAGCGACATGAGGAGGGGCGATTCTGTTCTGTCTATATTTACTGTTAGCTCATTCTATATTTACGTAAGTACTACTTAGACGTACGTCAAAATATACTTATTCGTCTTCGACGTACTTAAAATAGTCCTAGGGGAGTTAACCTTGAACTGTGTATGCCTTGATGCATACAAATTGTGCGGATAGGTATTTAATATGGTCAGGTAATGTATAACTTTACAAGGTTATGTATTGATGGGACAGTTCCAACACATGGTCCGGATAACCTGTTCCAATCGTTTAATTTTAGGACAGACCGAAACCCCGAAACCCAAACTCACCTCGTCGAGGGCCGACACTAGAACCACATGTTGTGGAACCGCTCATCATGGTTAGTTGACTGTGAGTTTGGATTATCATTTTTAAGAGCATCTCCACCGCGCGCAGTAAATTGGCCAATCAGTAAATCTGTGTGCTGATTTACTGAAAATTTACTGAAATATTTTCGCACCGCACCATTATCCGGTTCAGTACTTTGCTAGTCTCGAGTTTGCGATCGCCCGAGTGTTTCATTTTCACGACCGCACTCTCCTTAGTATCCGATATCAGAGTCGGTATGGGGTATTGTTTTCTCAAATGTAATTTCCCTAGGGGGTATCGCTCTGTGATAATTGGGCACTCCTCACCAATTATTTTCACCAGGGTCCCTTGACCATAAAATTTATCCAGCCACATACTACCAGCCATTCGTGATAGAGAGTTTTCGGACAGACAATTGGAGAGGACCTCAGAGATACGGATCTCGAAGTCAAATGTGGAAACGTACAATTTCGGACTGGAATTGATAAATTATTCAAAACCCAAACGTCGATTTTGGAAATATTGTAAATGGTTCGAAACCCAAAGGTCGATTTTGGAATTATTGTGATAAGTCCAGTGGGCAAGATAGGTAGTACGGAAAACAAACGCTCCATCTAAGCCAACACTTCAGCTAAAGCAATGGCCACCCGTGCTGCGAAACTGCCGCACGGCTACGGCTGCAAAATGGTTTGCCCGAACACGAAGCAACTTGCTTGAGCGCAGCATCCACCATGTTTCGCATTTCAAACGATTATTTGAAGACCTGCGTTCAAGAATCAAAGCTGCCAAGTCGACAATCTAATCACTTTCCAATTTACTCTTGAAGCTCGCTACCGCTACATTTGGTAGCACTTCTGGTTCAGTCAGGCAGCAAGGCCTTACACCGAGGGGCACAGCTCGGAGGTTGTAAGGTTACTCCATCTAGTTCAGGCAAAGGTTGAACGGCGACCTTTCGCAGCGACTAGTCTCGAGTTTGCGATCGCCCGAGTGTTTCATTTTCACGACCGCACTCTCCTTAGTATCCGATATCAGAGTCGGTATGGGGTATTGTTTTCTCAAATGTAATTTCCCTAGGGGGTATCGCTCTGTGATAATTGGGCACTCCTCACCAATTATTTTCACCAGGGTCCCTTGACCATAAAATTTATCCAGCCACATACTACCAGCCATTCGTGATAGAGAGTTTTCGGACAGACAATTGGAGAGGACCTCAGAGATACGGATCTCGAAGTCAAATGTGGAAACGTACAATTTCGGACTGGAATTGATAAATTATTCAAAACCCAAACGTCGATTTTGGAAATATTGTAAATTGTTCGAAACCCAAAGGTCGATTTTGGAATTATTGTGATAAGTCCAGTGGGCAAGATAGGTAGTACGGAAAACAAACGCTCCATCTAAGCCAACACTTCAGCTAAAGCAATGGCCACCCGTGCTGCGAAACTGCCGCACGGCTACGGCTGCAAAATGGTTTGCCCGAACACGAAGCAACTTGCTTGAGCGCAGCATCCACCATGTTTCGCATTTCAAACGATTATTTGAAGACCTGCGTTCAAGAATCAAAGCTGCCAAGTCGACAATCTAATCACTTTCCAATTTACTCTTGAAGCTCGCTACCGCTACATTTGGTAGCACTTCTGGTTCAGTCAGGCAGCAAGGCCTTACACCGAGGGGCACAGCTCGGAGGTTGTAAGGTTACTCCATCTAGTTCAGGCAAAGGTTGAACGGCGACCTTTCGCAGCGACTAGTCTCGAGTTTGCGATCGCCCGAGTGTTTCATTTTCACGACCGC